TGAAATGTCATTTTCCATGGAAATATATCCTCATTATCGTAAAATAACAACAACAACGACGACAAAAAGTATGTTTCATGAAAACAACATATTGACATATTAACTATAAGAATTTAATAATTTATACAGAACATTTAAAACAAAAAAAAATATACATATATATTTATATATATATATATATATTCAAAATTTATAAATTAACCCTTACTATTGGTGTGTTTCAGAATTAAATATTTATTAAATATAATTCTCTATTTGAGCGACTTTGCCCTCATAGGGTTAAACAAATTTTCATTTTTATTTCACTTTCATAATATTTCGTCGATGATATATTTATTGGCCATGATTATGTTTTAATCGATTGGCAATAGGTAGAGTGAATGATAAAGAGGGGGCGAGGGGTATATACAAGGATTAATGACACACTTTTCTGTTGAAATAAATTTACATTTTTTGTTGTGAACAAAAAAATCTACAATTATTTTTCGGTGTTATTTTTTCGGTCTGTGGTAATTTTAATTGTCATCATATTTTAAAAATACAATGGAAATTATGGCATTGCAACTGCAGCAGAAGCGGCGGCAACGGCTGAGAGCCTCGCTGATGACCTAAAAATGTCAATTTATGCAATAAATTGCAGTTTTTGTTGTTGTTCCTGGTTACTTACTATTCGACAAAAATGGCTTAACAAATCACAGAACAAAAGAGCGAGAGCAACAAGTGGTCAATTAAGAATTATCACCAACACTGCAACTGCCACCACCACCACTGTCACCGCCACTCAAGTGAGGCGTAAAAATACAAAATCAAAAGAGCCAGAAAAGTGAAATGATATGAAATTAAGTAATTAAAAGTAAATTTGTGTAAATTGAATAAGAGAATGGAAATTCGAACAGCAACAACAACAAAAATGCTAGAACCACCACAATAGAAAATAAAAGTGTTTGACAAAAACTATATATTTATTAAAACAAAAAAAAAACAACAATTAATAGAAAAGGTCAAAAGGCGAAACAGCTGGTAATACATATGAAAAATCTATAATTTTTTATGAGGCTGCGGGGATTTCCAGTGGCCAACTTATAAGTATTCAAATTGAAAAAAACGAGCGGGATTATGCATAGCTATGGTGTTTGACTTGTGTGCCTTGAGAGCAGCAAAAAAAAAAAAAAAACAATTTTTAATGGTATTTTGTTTTCATTTTGAAATCAAGTAAAACACTCGTGATTATCCATACAATTGATAATAGAAAATTGTGACACATATATATTTGTAATTTATAGCCAGGTTTTTATTACTAACATTTTTTTAATAGCTCTTTTTTATAGATTTTTTGGTGTGTGAATATTTCACAGCATAAAAAAAAATTATGGTCGTTTCCTAAAAGCATTCATAAACATAATGTCCCATTTTTTCAGATGATTGATTTCGATGTTGTCATGGGAAGAGTAAGAAAATGTATGATGATATAGTTTTTAGAGAAGGGGTAAGGAAGAACATAGATAGCATTTTTAATACATTTTTTTCAGGTCTTAGACCATAGATTTTATTCTAGGGAATTTCTTTCATGCATATATTATTTAAAGTTTAATTATTTTATTTTTTTATTCTAGGGGTAAATATGGTTATAATCTCCTCATAGATGTCTGGAGGATTTGAAACTGTAATGGGAGGAGAATGATAGAGAATCGTTTTCATTATAATAATCAAATACTTCCAAGTCAAATACTACAAGTCAGCACAGTGTTGGCGTTTTTACTTATAACTTTCTAGTCCTGTGAGCTCATCTACATTATCGAAAATATTCATTGTTTCTAGGGCCAACATAGAAATTCTGTTAATACCTTAAGTTGACCAGTGAAATTATTTTTTTCCCTCCATCTTATAAAAAAAAAATTCTTAAAAATCTCGGAGTAGCTCTCATAGTACTATTCTCTTGACATCTGTTGATATTTAGAATTCAAACTAATGATTCTCTCATTGATTTATTTGATTTCATTTAAAAATACAATTTTGATTTTATCAATTATTTGAAAAACAATTTCCTTACAAAATTTATTGCCACAAAATTCATTAATAATACACATTCTGACACAATTTGAAAACATTTTGTCATTTCGTCATGATCAAGCCACAACTTTTACAACAAATTGCCAGCACTCAGAAAGAAACCATATATGAAAAAAATTAACATCAAAGAGATTAATCACAATTGGAAATGGATATCAGAAACACTGTCAAACACAACTCAAACCCCCAATGTCCCTTCCTTCCTCCATGCAATTCTTTCCGTATTATGTGCTCAATGTTGGTTAGTTAATAATCACATTGACGATAACACCACTGAAGATATTTAATCATTTTCATGCAACAGCAAAAACTACAACAAAAGCCAAAAGTCGTCAATGTTGTAGTGTTGTGTGGCAAATAACAAAAACAACAAAACAAAATCATTGAGGAATAAAAAGCAAACAATCATTTGTATTAATCACTCATTCTACTGCTCTCTACTACTCCTCCTGTGAATGGAGGAAACCCGCATAAATTAAGACATTTCACTTCATTTATTACAACAATACAGAGAGGCAGCCAGGCAGCCACCCATTGAACCTGGAGAAAGAGAGAACACCCTGAGAGTTATGCCATGCCATTAAATGTGTACAATCTAGGGAAGAGAGAGAGAGAGAGAGCAAAAAAAAATGGCATAAATTGTAGGCGATTATGCCGCTGATGATGATTTTTTTAAGGCTGTCAAACGTTTATCAACACGACAATCATCAGGCCATTGACTAAGTCAACACCCCGAACAACAATGCCTAGTGGCTGGATGGATGGCTGCCGGAATGTCTGTTGTTTTCCAAGAACAATGCCTGGGCTGGTATAATAATAGTTGATTTGAATTGACAGGAGGGCAAAACGAGAGCTGGTGATGATGGAAATGTTGTATATGAGAGTGTTTTATGTCATTTATAATACGAAATCTAATAAGGAGAATTGATATTGGATCCAATAGGCAATAATTTCACAGGCTTTCTTGTTCACAAGTGACAATACACACAGTGGGGAACAAAAGTAATGGTAGTGCAAAAATATTTACTTTTTTATAAAGTAGAAGGAGTAAAATCGAAAGTCAGACGTAGTAAACATTCTTATGTCCCTAATCGATATTGAATCCAGTGAAGGGTGTTTAAGGAGCCCCTAACTGAAATCGAAAGTCAGACGTAGTAAACATTCTTATGTCCCTAATCGATATTGAATCCAGTGAAGGGTGTTTAAGGAGCCCCTAACTGATAAATAAAATGAAGTAGACAAAATAACAATAAATGCTCTTATTTTAGATCAGTTGACCCACAATTAATTCTATTAAAATCTACTGTAATTTATGAAGGGTTGATAAAAACGTTAATGATAGTAACGACTGTGATTTAAAAAGAGGCAAGGAATCGTTGTTTTCAATATTCCAGAGAGGCTATAAGATATTTCGTAAATTTGCAAACCATAAGTTGTTAAAATCATTTTGTAAAACTATGGTTCTTATGAAATCAATTGCCATAATTTGGACTTATTTACTCACTTTTTTTCCACCACTGTATACATTTATGTTGCCTTGTGGTGTATTACAAAGAATTGCGTGTTTATTGTAAATAAATCATATATATTATATTAAAATTACAAACGAATAGACTGTTCAGAACAAAGCCAGCGCAAAAAAAAATAAATGCCTAGGAAAACACTTTGAATACCACTTGTGTGAACTTCTCATATCATTTGAATTAAACGAATTTTTATAGAATCAATAAAATATAAATATCATCATAGTCTTTTACATTTACCAATAGAAGACAAAGGCAAAGACAGACCGAAAGACACACCCAACTGAAAGCAACGAAAACCAAACAAAGAAACCAAACTGAAAAAACACACACAAATTCAGTGATAACTTTACTAAGAATTTGTAACTAATTTATCATTTTTTAGAGAAGCATAAAAAATCTTGAAGCACATATACACAGAGTTTCTTAAGACATGCCACTAAGTCTGCCTTAGAAATCGGACAACACAAATCAAGATAGAAACAAATTATTTATGACCGGCCACACATCTCCCATTGAAAATTCCCCAAACCCATTCCAGTTTTACTTTTGTTTAAACTAATTATGGCAATTTGTTATAATTTTCACAATCGTCTGTCTCCAAATATGGCACGCACGCATTCATACATACATAGATCAGATTCCATTCCATGCCACATTCTAAGCTATAGGCTGAGAGATAACAGCCGCTGAAGAGGTCAATTTCATTTACACTCAACACTTCATCCGTTTGTGACGTTGTCGTCGTCGTCGCCCATCTATCTGTTGCGGACTATCTATCTGAGTTCGAAACTTGTTGTTGATTTGCCTGTTCATCCGAAGCTTTAGAGTAGGAAACAATTAATTAAAACTGTAGAATTACACATTTTAAAATTGTGTAGTCTATTTTATTTATTTCACTGGTTTACATGGAAAACAATTACATTCTTACAAAATGAGGAAGACGGCTGTCGTAGAATGGTGTGAGTCGGACAAATTTATTTTGAAAAGAAATATTTAAAAAAAACTAGGCCAGTTTCCAATCAGTAATGATTTATTGCACTAGACAGTATTGGCAATTTTTTGAAAATAATACGACGTAGGAACTGTCATATATTATAACAAACCAAATCAAAGGTTTATCTTAAAATAAACAAGTCCACCAATAAACAGGAATGATCTTATCTTATCAAATGAGAAATCTATATGAATTAAAATAAAGCACCTGGTACTCTCAACACAGCGTTCGTTATTGCAAAGAATATGTCCTTCAAAGGCAATTTCGTAATGAAACAATTTTGTTTATTAAATTTGGAATATCTATTTTATTAAATAAAATATAAGTTTCTTAAAAAGGAACAAAAAATAAAAAATATCACAACATAAAATCACTTATATTAGCGGACATTCCACCGTCCCACAGCTCTCTTACTCTTCGATTTTCTCTAATTTTAAATAAATCCCTCCTTTTGCGGTCAAAACGAACGTTTGTTCATCGAAGACCAACGGCACCGGTGTCTTTGGAGTCAAACTAAATTTGAAATTTGACAACAGCAACACTAAACCAATCATGGCCTGCATTTTACCAAATCTCAAGCCAATACAATTACGTGGTCCTTCACCAAATGGCAACCAAGACATCGAGTGTCGTTTTCCAATTTCTTCTGCGGTAAAACGTTCTGGTATGAATTCCGATGGATTTGGATAATTTGTGGGATCATGATGTATGGCGTCAATGGGTATAATAAGAACAGTGCCCTTTTCAATGACATGCTTGCTACCCGGTACAGGATAATCTGCCAATGCTTTGCGTATAACCAACGAAGCTACCGAATATTTGCGCATGGTTTCTAAGAAAATACATTTTGTATCAAATTGTTTATAACAATCAAAAGTGCTACGTCCTTACCATATAAAATTTGTTGTAAATATTTCAATTCCTTGACTCCCTCATAAGTCAATTTTTTGTTGTTCTTCGCCAATACCTCATTGATTTCCTGCCTTGCCCGATTTTGCATATTTTCATTCATTGCCAATTCATATAGAGCAAATGCCATAGTACTTGAACTGGTCTCAAATCCTGCCAAAAAGAAAACAAATGCCTGGGCTGCAATTTGTTCCAAAGTCAAGCCATCCTTGTCGTTGCGATTTTTCAATTCAATCAAAATATTCATGAAATCATTTCTTTGTATCTTCTCCCTCTCACGATATTCAACAGTTTCTCGCACCACTTTCATAAAGAATTCACTAACATCCTCGGGTACAAAACAAAGACCCATTTTCCTGGCCAAATTCGGGAATGCTTGGGCAAAGGCAAACACCATGCGACCATGACGCCGTTTGGAGAATACTTTTTGTCCCATTTTACGAAATTTGGCATTGGGGTCTTTGAGACTATTGCATTCCAGACCAAAGGCACAACACCCAATTACATCAGTGGTGAATCGGGCCAAAAGTTCACGTATCTCAATTCCCTCCTCATCACTTTTTTCCAATAATTCTTTGAGCACGGCCACAAAACGTTCGCCTACCTCCACCACAGTGGAAAACATAAATTTCATTTTGCCCGATGTAAATGTGGGCGTCAGTTTAGTTCTCATTTCCTTCCATTTGGGTCCATCCAAATTAAATAAGTGTGCCGACAGTGGATCCCCCTCTTCATTGTAATAACTGCCACGATGTGAGAAATTGTGAAAATCTGTTATCATAACGCGCTTGATTAGCTCAAGGTCAAACAAAACAATGGCCTTTCTCAGACTCAAATAGAAACCACCAAATGGGGCTATGCCTTTGTACTTTTGATAGAATTCATGAAATGTCTGCTTGAGTGGCTGTGTTCTGCCGGCTGCTCTCATATTACCATAAAACAAATCTGGTTTATCGTGTACCACACCGCGCTCCGTCCAGTAGTTGTAGTGTTTATAGATGGAATATAAACACACTGTCACCAGTGCGATGATGGCGTATAAAAGAATTTGCAAAAACGTCATTGTAGTCCAGACCCCAAAGTCCACAACAGCTAGAATAGCGAAGAGCCGCGCACCAATGAATACTGAATGAGTTCGGAGAAAATCGCAATACTTTATAGACTAGCTGAGAGAACTTAGTGTTTGGGTTGATCGGTTGTTGTTGTTTTGTTTTTAAACAGAGAGAAAGATACGATCTTAGTATCTTTACAATTCTGGATAAACACAATATGGCAGGGTTGCCAAATTTTGCAAAAAAAAAATCTTTCGAAAATAAGAACAAGGAAAGGTGGGGATCTGAAATATTTTTTTTTATTAAAAAATTAATAATAAATAAAAAAAACGATATTAGTAGAACATAAAATATATTTATAATAAAAGAGGGCTTCAAAGATAATTGTTTATAAACATTTTTCGAAGTCAAATATTTTTGAAACCAAATTTTCTGATTAAAATGAAAAAGAAAATGCATTTATGGCATCCCTATCGAATATGTAATCAAAGACATAAAAGTATAAAGATACGACAATTGATACGTAAACAATTTCCAACAGATGGCTTTTCCTCTGTTGTTACGATATCATAACAACAGAGAGAACAGTATTAAACGTTTTTAATGCTATATCTTAAGTTTATTAAATAAAAAAATATATTTTGAGTGCACATCTCTGATTTTATTTACATTTTATAAACACATTATCGCGTATTGGCGTTTTTATTGTTAACATGCCTCTGTTATACCTGATTCCCCCTGGATATTTTTTTATAAACTATTTTGTCAAAATGCATTTTGTCGAGTCTTTACGGTTTCTATGTCTTTGATGTCATTCAATGAAAAAACTAATTACATTTTGCCATTCTCTGCTCTCACTTAATTACTATGTTTTCTGACATTCTCTTTTTCTCAAAACGTTCATTAAGTTTCACAGCTGATTGCATTAGTTTGGACCTTTAGCACAAATTATTAAATAGACTATGTTTTCTGATCACCTCGCCGTAACACTCACTCACCAGTCTGACTTAAACAAACTCAAATTGTTTACCGTAGGTTTTGTGTCGAGTCATTGTGATCTATTTGTTGATGTAATTACGAATATGATTTAAACAACTTTATATAGCTTTTGAGTTCATTCAAGTATCACAAATATTTTTGATATCTATTTTAGGTTTGGAATTAAATCATAAATTTTGTACTGTAATAATCTTCTCAAATAAAAATTTCAATGCGTAATATTCATTTTAATATTATAAATTATTGGAAATTTTCGCTTATGGTTTTGAGTTGCACTTGTTAAATACCAATTTACCCAATTGGATTTATTAAGTTTTATTAATAATAATTTCAATATTCCCAATAATATATAATTTAAAATAATTATCTAATTTCTGCCACTCCATTAACTTAATTCGATATACATATTTAAATTCCATAAATTCTTTAAATTCTGCATTTACAAATTATTCAAAAAACAACATTAGTTTTGAAATCAATTGAAAATAAATTTCATTGTTGGAAATTTCAATTGCATTCATATGCATTTATTAGTTGTAATACAATATTAGATTGTTATCACAAAATGCCCGAAACAATATCAACAATACTCTCCATAAATACAGTTTGAAAACAATTTCAATAATTAAAATTCTATTAGACACCTTTCAACCGCACCACACGCACACATACCGAACATCGATAATAATCACGCTAGCCAAATGTTGACCAAAAACTATTTGAACGTGTAGAAAGATGTGGTATGATTGGGGTTTGAAAACTTTCTACCTCCCTCCCCCCACCAACCTCCCTTTCAACAACATATGTGTGTGTCGCTAATGTAATCAGACAGCTAAAGCATCAGTAAAAACAACATTGTTGCATTAGTTATAAACTATAGGAGAAAAAATAATTAAATTAAAATCAAAAACTGGTCACAAAAACCTCTGTTCAATATATGTTGCATATATAAAACTTTTTCGTTTTCGTTGTTGCTGTTATTGCTTATTTTTTGGCGAATTATAAAAATGCAATTTGTAAATTGTAAATATTTTGTCTAAACTTAAATCAACACAAAATGTATAAAAATGTGTCAGTGACAAATCGCACTCAAACAAACATGGCCAGATAAAACGATCAACTTTTATTTGTTGTTGTTGTTTTGGTAACACCATCACCACTGTAAAGCTATTAAATTTAATTTGTTTTCATTTCGGTTTATTATCATCAACACAAGTTTGAAAACATTGATAGGCAGGAAGAGAGCGTGAGATATGATGTCGATGTAAGGCGTGTATGCTGTGCAGTGTGTACATATGTTTATGTGTCGTTTTTTTGTTACTGCCAATAAAATATTTTATTACTTTTATTTGTTTAACTAAAGGACACTTTCATATATAGATTTGTATTAAATTCAGTAATAAATTTAATGGTATTTAAATTTTAGATAGAGAAATTTTCATATCCAAAGGGACTTTTAACTCGAGAGCAGATAGGCATATTGTTGTGATTTCTATAGCCTTTAAAAACTGGGGTGTATATAAAATTTGCCAATCTCTCTGCAACACCTCGAAATATTCGTCGGAAATCCCCATCTAGTAAATATAATCTTGATCAGATTTAAATTAACTAAATGACAGAGTTAAATTATATGCCGATTTAGGCACATCCATCTATTTGTCTCTTGAAATCGCAGTGGAGCTAATAATATATAAAATCGAACTTAGAATAGTTTAGTTTAGGTCCTATATTTATTTTCCAACCGATGGTGCTATAATTGGACATTACGCAGTTTCAGAAGATAAATTATCTTTAAATAATTCAGTATTATTTTCTCTAAATGAATTTCCATACTTATTTTCCTTAATTGATTATGTATTAACCAAAAAAATTCTAATCCCTACCCATATCAATCGTTATACTTACCTCCTCTTATTTACCTTAGCCTTTGTTACAAATCGCCACAAAAATTCCTCCGACACATATGTTTAAGTGAGCTTAAATTTGGGTCCTTCCCCAATTTTTTCCTCCTTTAAAGCCACTAAATTCTAGCTGCCTTATTTGCCATGGTGGCATAAATTCCTTTAGCCATAAAAATGAATAAAGCCACAATGAAGGGCACCCAACAACATGTCAGTCTAAATGAAATAAACAAACAGACCAACCAACCAACCAGCCAGTCAGCCAGCCAACAAACTTTGCACATCAAAAAGAAAAACAACTGAATATACACCACCAACCTAAATACCTACCAAGTGGGAGGGAAATTTGTGGTCTTCATTATAACCATATGAATATTCCGACTTATGGTAATCAAACGTGAAAAAATTGCCCTATACGTTACGGCTAACCTTCTATTAGCAGTAAAAACTTAAGACCATAACAGCAGTGGAGCATGGCAAAGGGGATAGGGTGGCGTCTATATGCAGAGAGTGTAGTGCTCACACATAAGTGGCGGTGGTGGTGGTCATGGTGGCTTGTGGTCAGCCTGAACCGACAGTTTTTGGGATATGGCCAAGTAACACCAACAACAACAACTATGAAATAAGTCAAAAAGGTAAAGGGAAAAATAACAAATGGGTCTGTAAGGTTGTCGGTTTTAGTGCTAAGTGGATAATGAATGATTTTCACTCACCTGGAAAATGGAGGAGACTGTTTTATTGGTCTAAACATATGCCAAAGCCAAACGAAAAAAAGAAAAATCCCCTAGTCCTACTTTTCCACAGAACGGCGAGAGAAGATACAAAAGGCTGAAGAGAAGATTTTCTATTTTTTTTTAAATCATCCATTTAAACAAAGAAATAAACAAAATTAGGATCAAATAGGGAGATTTAATTTTGAAGCAGGGAGGATCATGGGAACTGCCTGTCTTCTTGTCTACTAATGTAATTGAATTTCTAGTCCATATACCCTGGCATTGTGTTGAAATTACAACAAGAAGATGATGATGTATTACATGAAGAAAATTGGAATATAAATTAAAAAAACGGGGAATGAAGTAGGAGGGTAACGTGTTGGAGGAGGAAAGCATCAACAGCAAGTAATTTATTACAAAATAAAGAGCAACAAATTAAATGTCTTAAAATTTAATAAGAGGAAAATTTTTTTATTAAAGCCTCTTTAATAGAAAAATACATACACACAAACAAGGCACAAAATTACAGTGTCTCAATTCCAAACAAAAACATATTTCGTAAAATAGTGCAGTATGCCATAAAAAGATGTTTGTTTTTTGTGAAATTATATGCGGCCGACTTATGGTAATGTCGATATTATCAAATGTATGTGTGTATGAGACGCATACATTTGATAATATCGACAGCTTTGCCTATTTATCTTTCAGCTAACGCAACTTTTAAACAAATACTAGCTGCTGTTTTTGTTATCATAAATGTAATTCTCGTTCGGTTTCTATTTGAGCTGTATTATCTTAAGCATCTATAAAAAAAAATTGAAGCAATGCTTTCAAAATTTGTTCATTGTAAAATGCGTATGAATATATTTCCCAAATTAAGTTTATTTTCGTAATAATAAAAAACTCTACATTTTAAATTATATGTATGACAATGTAGATTTAAATTTAATTACATTTATACCCATCCCTTAATTCACATTTATTTATTTTTTATTTTCTTTTTTCTTCTCATTTTAGGTAATGATTGATAAAATCCCGTCTTATATTTAATATGCCTAAGGTAAGGTTAAGATTATTTGAAATAGACAAAAAAGAAAATTGAAAAAAACGTGCCATCTTCCATTCCATGATTTTACTTAGGTATTTTATATTACACAACGCTCGCCCCTCCCCCTCAAAACGTAGCAAATGTGTATGATTAAATTCAAATTATAGCTTATCTATTCGTCCATCATTAGTAATTTGTCCGCAAGGTGTATTCTTCTTTGTTGCATAGAAATTATAGATTTCATGTACGAGCAAAGCGATAGCTATGTAACGCTATTTAACAATTAATACCTAATTTAGTTAATTAATAATCTTCGTCATCGACAATTTCATTTTCCTCTTCTACATCTT